AATGAAATTCTTAGCTATTGCTTTGCCTAAGCCCCTTTTCGTTCCTTCTCGACTCCGAGGCCTTCTGTTTTATGAGACTAAGGTACCTGAGTAAGGTAGGTATGGTACTTTGAGTGACACCGTCCTGTTGGCCATGTGGATGTGTAACTGGTGACGTGCCAGGGGAAATAAGAAGAGATGCCCACACGTTCAACTCGGCTAACAACCTGGAATTTTCAGTGATAGACACAAACCAGACTTGAAATACAAAGCAAGTATGTAGGAAAGCCATCAATAAGTACCGTACCTAGCTCTAGGTAACTTGAAGTTAAGAAATCCATCCTCCAAAGGTCAATGTCCACCCCAAGGCCCGAAAGCAGCAACGTGAACAAGATGAAGCTCAAAACAACATCGCCTGGAATGTCAGCACTATTAAGAAATACTCTTGTAGGCATCATGTATGGATGCCAGTGGTACTGCCTGGTACTACGTACCTGTACTGTGCCCTCTCTGACAAGGCCTCGCCCTGCCCGTGTCTATCCCACCTGGTGAAGTCCGGGTCGGACTTCTACCTAGATTCCTAGATGTCATCCCCCCTACCTATGTGGACGAAAAACTTTCCTACCGGCCACCAACCTTCCATACCGTTCATCAACCATTCTTGCTCCATCTGACATGACCTGAACAACGACCGCTGGCACTCTCTCAGACTTGTTGCGCTCGTTGTCCAAGCCGGCATCGTGTTTCCGGGCTTCATGAAGACGAACACCAGAGGACTCGCCTTCAACTGGTCCACGGTTCGGCATCGCCAGGCTCAGCTTGTCGAGGTGTCGGCCGTTGAAGGATCGGCGAATCCACACCGTCTTTCTTCCTTTGTCCTCGCCTCTTTCATAGCGCTCAAACAGGCCGGGCCAAGACCTCTCCTGCGACTGGTACCACTTCTCGGCCTGAGCTGGCTCCTCGAAATTGATGCCATAGTGGTTGACCGAATCGAGGCGGATGCAGTACAGGTTCGCCCCCAGTTGTATGTCCCGTGGGAGGCCCAGCCTGAGGTACTTCTCGTCCACACCTCGCTCGAATCTCAAATAAAGGCGCGGCAGGTCTAGATTGTCCGGTACTTTGATGGAGACTCTAACGATGACTTCCGAGCTCATTTTTGGAACTGGAGGTGCTGGGCTGCAAGCGGTTTCCTGAGCTGTCTCTGTAACGATGGAAAGAAAGATGTATGAAGTGGGGAGAGCCTTGCCAGTGAAGCAAAAGAGGGGTTGGGTGAATCGGCGGGACGAGAATTTTGTTCCCCCCCAGCCGGGCTTCTTAAATCCGTTTGGTTAGTACCCTGTCTAAGGTACTAAGGTACGTACCGTACTCTCGGAGTTGCAAACTTCCATTTCAATGAGCCAGGGCCTCGCCAATCTCTCCCGACAGTGCTAGCACACGACAAGGTATAGAGAGGCACCTACCGTGATTCGGGCAGGAGATTTATGTGGACGATGGGGCTGAGTGCGGTGCCACGTCATCTTCGTGACACCCGAGTTTTAACATTTCTGTCCTTGCCATTGGCTTCTTATACGGTAGACTGAACCGTGATGGCTAACCATGGCTTAGCTTCATGTTGGCCCGCAGGGTATGGTATGCGGCATGCAGATGCGTGCAGCTCTCGCAGGTGAACACCGTCTTGTATTGGGCCGCGTCTGCTGCAGCCTGCAGTGCCGTGCAGTCTGGCATGGAGTACCGGCACTTTGACCGCAAAACTGGCACAGGCTCAGCCGCATCAGCGCGGAATACGCGGCACCGCTGATGATAGCCACGGTAAACCGCCTGCCTGTGCAAGGTGCCAATCAAAGTACGGAAGGTGAGGTAGGTGCTCCTTAGGTAGGTAATCAGCCATCAACAAACTCATACACCATGGCCAGTCGAATACCCGATGAAGAAGTCGGCGTCGTCCCAGCATCATCAGCGCCAGCGCGCCTGCAGGACTCCCCTTCTCCCTCCTTCACTTATGCCTCCTCGGGTCCAGACACGGCTCCACCATCCAGCCGCCCATCCACGCGCACTGGCAGGAGCTCTCCTCCGCCACAACTACATGAATCCAGCAGCACTCCTCGAGCGTATTCCGCACAAGCAGGCGGGACCGCAGCTCTTCCAGTTCCCACCGGGGATGTGGCCAACGATCAACTTGACATTGCGAACTCCGACAGATGGATCTGGAAGAACTTTGGGCAATACCTCGTCACGAAAGTGAAGCCTTGGCCGTTCAAGTCTGCGAATCAGGGGGAGGAAAGCTTCGAAGTCAACCTCGCCGAGGTGCAGCGCATGTACTTGGTGCAGTTGCGCATCAGGCTGGCTCGCCACATCGCACGCTGGGAGCTGAGTGGCGGTAGGAAGCTGCGCAATAGCTGGGATCGACGTCGGACCGGGAAGGACAATGGGAA